CGCCTTCAAATTCTAGTTTGTTTGAAATACAAGAGCGCTGCCGTCTCCACTGGAGATGAAAACACGTCTGTACATGTCAGGAGCCACTCATCATTCCTGACCCACAGACCTGGGAACAAACACCGACCGCAATCCACTGACACGTCACTGACACCAGCTTTTACACGTCGTCTTAAAGGTGCAGTTCATGGATTTTCACCTGTTATTGTTGTTTGGCACTAAACACTAACCATCCGACCACTCCCCACTGTACGACCTGCTCACTCCCCACTGTACGACCTGCTCACTCCCCACTGTACGACCTGCTCACTCCCCACTGTACGACCTGCGTACGACCCGCTCACTCCCCACTTCACGACCTGCTCACTCCCCACTGTACGACCTGCTCACTCCTTGTATTTGTGTTTGCAGTGCCCCCTTTAGTTCAAGGTGAGAATGGCGACACGCTGCTCTTACCCTGATGCGGCTGACGCGTTTCTTCCATGATCGGACTCCAGACAGGTAGATCTGGTTCAGTGCCTGGTAGGACAGCTGCAGGTCGATGCCCTCAGGCGTTATGGTGAACTGAAAGGCCACGGCCTGGTGGGCTTCAGCCATTGCTGTGGAAACAGGAGGATCAATCAAAGGAGTGGATCTAGAAGCATTTCTTTTAAGAATTCAAGTAGGAAAACGAAACAACACGCCTCTAAGAAGTCTTTCCCAGATACTGTTTTACAGCCAATTTCCTTATAAATGGGATTCAGTCGTTAGAGCGCTGAGAGCAGCGGTCACTTTGACAATCACCAAAACTTAGACACGAAACACAATCATCTGTATTTAGCTTCCTGGCTACGTGCTAATTCAATGTCACTCTCTCCCTCATTATACTGACTGACTGAAGCCATTGTTACCACGACCGGTTCCACCTGTCACCTCCAGGTGTGAAGAGCCAATCAGAAGAAAGAATCCACTCAACTAACCCTAACCCTGATCTTCACCCAGGATCACTGCAGTGACAGTTAGTTATTATTATTATTACTACTATTATTATTAAAGCTTCTCCAGTCCTTTAACTGGTTCTTGACCCAAACCAACCTGGTCATGTGGATGATGGAAATTATAATATTTAAATCAAACAATCCTTTCAGATGACGTTTGTGTGTGTGTGTGTGTGTATGTGTGTGCATTCAGGCAGAGACGCAGGAAAGGAGTACTACACACAGTACTACACACAGTACTACACACAGCCTGACGTGACGTGAGCGCTGTGAGGTCACTGGCAGCATCTGGGTCTGCGTGTGTGCGGACTCTGACGGCGTCTGTCCGCTGCAGCGTGAATGGGATGGAAAGGCGGAGGTGGGAGGAGGACCAGAATGTTGCTTCTCGTGGCTTCAAACTGTTAAAGTTTTACTGGCTGTGAACTGTGGCCAGAACCTTAACTTTGACACACTTCACACCAGGAGGCATACGTCACGAGGTGGCAATGATTGGCCAAAACAACGCCTGTATTCTCTGTCGCCGGGGCAGCTCCATATACAGTGTAACGTACACAGGAAAGGAGCAGACGGTCTGCAGCCACGGGCTCCTCCTTCACACACAAACGCTGCCCTGGTGTCTTTTATTTCAGATGTGTGAGTTCTTGTTTTATCTGGGACATTTGAGTTGGCTGAAAAGTCCATTTCAAAACATAAACACAAAGGTTTATTTTAAATGTCAGCAAACTCGTTCTACCTGCAGGATGATAAAGGCCCTGCGTCGGCTGAAACCATCAGTGTCCAGGTCTAAACTGGTGTGTGTGTGTGTGTGTGTGTGTGTGTTAGTGAACCCACCAGTCCAGGTCCAGACGTTAATACTGCACTCAATAACAACATGTTTACAGAAAGATCAATCTGTGATTGGGAGAAAACTAACATTAAAAATGATCACGTATGACATCACTACTTTAGTTAAAGATTATAGGTTGACGATTCCACAGCAACAAAAGTGAATTAATCACTTAATAATCAGAAGTTTTAGTAATAGTTTTATAGTTTAATATCGTTCATATCAGTTTAAAAATATAAAAAAAAAAACCATTTACTCTTAAGAAATATTGAGAATTGTCTCTCTTGTATCTTTAGGGAGAGAATGAAGAGAGAACAGGTGTGAAAAGCCCTGGGTAACATTTCTCAGTGATTCTGTGTGTTCGGTCGGGTGTGGTCGGTCTCTTATCCAAACATTCTGTTTGGTCTGGTAACGTTCAGGTAACGTTCTTCAGACATGGAGCAGAAACCTACTGAAAACTACCCAGACTGGTCCGTACAACGGTCGTCTTTTATAGTCAAACCACAGAGTGGGCCACAGAGTGGGCCACAGAGTGGGCCACGACCGTGGAGTCAATGAATTGGAACACGACCGAAATTGTGATGTTGAAGATTATACTTCACGGCATCGTGTGGTGAAGAAGCGGTGAAGTGGTTGTTACACACAGTTCACCATCTGCTGTTTCACCGTCGAGATAACAGTACAATAAACAACAACAACAACAACAACTGTTTAGCACACGTAAAAGCTAAAACATTATATTCGTACGTTTAAGATAACCTAAATATAACTGTTGAAAAGCGAGAGTCAGTCTTTCATAAAGTGAAAGGCGACGTTTTTGTAACGCTCACACGGTCGTGACGTCTCTCTGAAAACTACGCCATTATTGATATTTTAACACGTGTTGTTATTTATAACGACACAAACACGAAAGTGAGGGCGTAATTTCGTCAAAACATTTGACTGATAACTCATTTCTAATTTTAAAAACCGTGAAGCTAATGCTAACAAACAGCACATTTGTCCAACAGTTGGTGTCTGTGATACTGCGGGCTTCTTTTCCATCACTGTGTCTGCGTGGGTGGCTGATCACAAACACCTGCAGCTGAGCACGGACACAGTCAGTGTTCGTGGCTTTTCTCCACATCACTCCATTTCACACAACACGGGTCCATTTCAGGCTCGGCTCCATCTGCCGTGCCACAAAAGACGGCAGAAAACTAAAACTCCTCGGCGCAAATGAACACAACCGACACCACAGTCCACAGAGAGTCGACAACAAACGACTGGTGGTTGGATTTTTCTTACCTGAAACGTATTGAGATGCGTTTCCCGCTGCAAACTCGCACACAGAACCGTCTTTCTGGACCGGGACAACTCCCTGTTATGCGCGAGCCTTCCACAGCGCTGCCTCGGTGAAAGCGGTAGTTGAGGACACAGTGCTAGTGGCCGCTGGCAGAGATGGGTGTGTAGTGACGGGATGACTCACTACACTCTGTTTTAAAACACGTGCGGCGGCTCTGAGGATGTAGGCTTTAAGTTTGACCTCTGTATACGACTGACACCCACACCCCCGGAGCTGACCCGGATGTTCAGTAGAGTTGTGATAAAGCTGTTGTTTTTTATCTTTATCTCGTCCTGAACTGCTTCACGGTGGATTCATCGAATGTTCGAGGTGGATCCCGCCCTAACATCAATGTCGGCTGGGTTTGGTTCCGCAGGTCCGCCTGTGTCTGTCAACAGGAAGAAGTGATTTAAACAGTAAATGAATCGGATTATAATCTCACCACATCGTCACTCAATGAACTTCATTAAAACAAGGACAACGTACTAAAGCCGTAGTGAGACATCGGTTGTATGAAGTACGATATCGATGACGTCACAGACGAGCCCGCTCTCAGTATGGTGATGAAGTGAAAAAAAAGAAGAGGAAATTTGGCCACGCTCCTGTCAGTAAGAGATTCCAGCAGCATCAGGATGCTGCTGAAAAGTTTTTAGTGAATTTATTCTTTAATATAGCGTAGGACAATGTTATTGAACAATACTTCTCGTATTCCTTCTCTCCTTCCGACTGTTCCCTGCAGGGGTCGCCACAGGGCCTCCATCTCGGCCTATCTCCTGCTGCTTTGACACCAATGTTCTCCTGTAGAAGAGCCTCCTAATAATTGTGTTTGTAAAACTACAGCTGTATCCATGGCAACAGATGCTTCTCAATCCCATAAAGTCAACAGACACGGCCGACAGTTAGTCTCAGCATTTACATTGTAGTAAAAGTACAGACAGATTTACTGAACACAAATGGATTGGCAACGTTCCAGGTCTGACAGAGGAGAACACACACACACAGACACACACACAGACACACAGACACACACACGTGGTGTATTTTCATTGTTGTTTATTGTTCAGTATTTGTCACAGGCAATAATAATCGTTGTCTTAATAGTGCACTTTTCCTTTTTTTGTAATTATACTACAGACATTTCTCTTTGTCGCTGTTGTCATCACCAACTGTGTAAGCTGTGTTTTCTCCCCCCCCCCTCCCCCCTCTCACCCACCCAGCCCTACACACACACACACCTCCCCCCTCCTCCATTGAGTTCTTTTTTTTCTGACATCATGATTTTTTTTTCACCAGAGTGAAAAGAAAGAAAACTTCCTCTATTGTGTGGAGGGTGATGAGATGAAGGCCTGGTCACTGATTGGCTGCAGCAGCGTGTCTGGAGGGGAATCATGGGCATGAGACGAGAGTTTGATGGTAGGACTCTCACGTGAAGTGGAGGAAGGAGCAGTAATGACGAGACATAGAGCGACTGTGGCTACGAGGTGGATAAATGAATGCTACGTAGATATGAATGGCATACAATGGAGACAGAGACGAGCAGACGGTCTATACAGACGGTCTATACAGGTGGTCTATACAGACACCGTCTATACAGGCGGTCTATACAGGCGGTCTATACAGACGTATACAGCGCCTGTATAGACGGTCTATACAGACGGTCTATACAGACCCCGTCTATACAGACGGTCTATACAGGCGGTCTATACAGACGTATACAGCGCCTGTATAGACGGTCTATACAGACGGTCTATACAGGTGGTCTATACAGACACCGTCTATACAGACACCGTCTATACAGACACCGTCTATACAGGCGGTCTATACAGGCGGTCTATACAGACGGTCTATACAGACACCGTCTATACAGACACCGTCTATACAGACACCGTCTATACAGACGGTCTATACAGGTGGTCTATACAGACACCGTCTATACAGACACCGTCTATACAGACGGTCTATACAGACGGTCTATACAGGTGGTCTATACAGACACCGTCTATACAGGCGGTCTATACAGGCGGTCTATACAGACGTATACAGCGCCTGTATAGACGGTCTATACAGACGGTCTATACAGGTGGTCTATACAGACACCGTCTATACAGACACCGTCTATACAGACGGTCTATACAGGCGGTCTATACAGACGTATACAGCGTCTGTATGGAAGTACATCATGTAGAAAATGTATACAAGAGGAAGCTGATTATATGGGGGTGGAGGGGTGAGATATGTGAGGGTTGGGACGAGGGGGAGAGAAGTGAGATTCAGGACTAACAAAAGTGAAGGGTAAGAGAGGAGGGGTGAGGGGAGGGTGAGGTTTCTCTCTGCCACAGCAGTGTGACGTGACGTTCGGCCGAGGGACGAGCGCCGCCGTAACTCCGATTGATATCATTTCAACTAGAATATTTCTCTCTACAAGTACAAGACGATGACGGTGACGTTTGGGTGAAACCAGCCGTCTGTGTCACCACCAAACCCCTGACCTCTGACCTTTGTGAAGACTTCAAATAACTGATCCATCTGGACCGACTGGTCTCACTGGAAAGCTGTCCAGAAGGAGGGGCACGAACACGCCCCCCCCCCCCAAGACTTTTCAAAACCCTGACAGAAGCGTCATCTCAGAGCAGGACATGTCAGACAGTGAGTCCTGATCATGGTCTAGAGTTTGATCGTTGCATAAATAGTTACAGAATTCCTTTTTTTACATGATGTGACTGAACAGATGCTGCGGAGGTTTTCAACATCCAAATTCACACCTGTAAGATGACAAACAAACAAACAAACAAACAAACAAACAGACAGACAAACAAACAAGTGGATCTCAAAGTCAGACTCAGCGTCATCCAGAGTTGTTGTTGTTGTGGTTGTTGTTGTGGTTGTTGTTGTGGTTGTTGTTGTGGTTGAAGTTTTACAGGACGACAGAAACTTTGGCTGCTGTATGTTTTCACAAGGTTCAAATGTGGGGAATTTTAAGTCAAACAAACAAACAAACAAATAAATGAAAACATAAATAAATCCTACACTCCTGGTCCTGTGCTAGGACTGCTCTCCTGCAGAGATTCATACATATATATAATAAAAAACCTTTTGGACATTCATATGGTTCAAGCCTCACTTCCTTTTTTGCTGGTGGCACAAAAATATTCTAAAATAGAAAAAAACAACAACAAACAAACAAACAAACCTAGCTTTAGCATGTCACTGTCACTGTCACTGACACTGACACTGTCACTGACACTGTCACTGACACTGTCATGTTTGCTGTCAATCAGGTCCAATGATTATAAATAAAATACATTTTAACGAACAGACTTATTTTTTCAAGGTGAATTCAGACAATAATCCTACACATTTTTCAGCCAAAGTGAACGTGTGACCTGGGGTTGGATGCCAGTTTCCTCAGTGCTGAGCCCTGATGCAGAGCTATTAGCTATTAGCTTTTAACTGTTAGCTTTTATAAATGATAAATTCTAACGTGTACTTAGACGGTGAGGATCTTTTGTTTTGTCCATGTCAGTTCATTATTATTCTTATGCACTTTTCTCTGTACCCTGTCAGACAGTATTAGAGAAGTTGTTTTTCTCTGTATTGCATTAAAGAGTAACATTAAACTGAACATTTCAAACTCCTAAACCACAGTTGGATTTGTGTGGACTCTCATATCTGGAAAATGAAACGTGCTGCACTTAAAAAAAACCAAATAAATCAAAGATTGCCTTCCTTAAAGCTTACAGACGTCCTGAAATAGATTTATTGCATCATGATGTTTGTCCTTTTTTTTAGTTTATTTTATGATGACCTTCATTATCGTGTGCAGAATAATCTAGTCTAACGTGAACTCCTTCAGTGCATAAAAATAAGAAAGTAACAATGTTGGAATTCTCTTTTTCTGAAGTTATTTCCTGTCATTTTTATCAGTTCAAATTAGAAGCTGAGATCGGACGGTGGTTTAAATATAAGCCTTAATAAAATCCTCACTTTAGACCTCTGACCTCTGACCCCTGACCCTGTGTTTAAATGTGGTCTAAAGTATGGGTCTCCATTCACTTACACAGTCAGTGACTAGTAAAAAAGGGGGGTGTCATGGAGCACTGCCCCCTGCTGGACACACCAATCGTACCAATCATCTTTGTTTCTGCTGAGTCGTCTCAGCTCTTCTAGTGGGCGTGTTTACAGGGTCTACCAGAAGAGGGGCTAGGGTTCTCAAGATGAGGTTAACTCTAATTGGCCGTCCACTTTTTCTTCTCCGTTAAAGGCATTATGGCATGTTAGCTTCGTCAGAGTAATTCAAATAATGGTTGGACTCACTGGACGTCCTGTCGTGATGAATGCTGCTGCGCTCCAGCTCCTGTTGTTAAAACTGCTCTAATTATCACTAATTAATTACAGATAACATTCACTTCGTTCAACTCGTTCCGCTGTCGTTATTTCTTTTCCTGAAAGGCTACATTGTTTGGTTGCCCGACTGGAGAACGCACCTTTGTCTTTGATTAAAAAGTATGGTGACGTCCCGCCGCGGTTGGTCGGGTCGTGTGGAGCGAAGGTGGAGATCCAGGTGACGTGTGGTCGGTCAGGAGGCGATGGAGGAGGAGGAGGTCATCTAGGGTGTCCTGTTCGGGTCGGTTCTGTACGTGACGGCTCCATGTGCTTTTCCTGACCTGTCCAGTGAACTCTGTGGTTCCATGACCGTCAGTTTCCCCAACATTCCTCTGGAAAGCTGTGACTTCTTGGGATTCTCTGTCTTTCTGTCTCCAGTCCCTCCTGGGAACAGCTCACCTCGAAGGCTCTTATGTCCTTAGGTCAAATTCAAGAACCCCCCCCCCCCCCCTCCCCCCCCCTCGAGGGAAAGGCCAACAAAAAAAAGGGGGGGGGGGG